ACTCTCTCTCTCTCTCTCTCTCTCTCTCTCTCTTTCTGTCTCTCTCTCTCTCTCTCCTCCCCCCACACACACAGAATTAACTACATGTAGTTCCTAACTCCCTCCCCAGGTAGTCAACTACGGACTGGGCGGCCACTACGAGGTCCACATGGATCCTTTCGATGTGAGTGGCAGAGTTTCCTGCTGATTGCGTGCGTTGGGCTAGTAGTATTTTAGTTTAGTTTTGGTGCAAGTCCTTTTTCAGTTTCAGAAAAAGTTTACACGACACTTGCAACACAATAACATCATATAAGTGCTGATTGTTAGACGTGGTACAAGAGTAATATATGTGAGGCAGCGTGGTGGAATCAGGCTCTCGTCAATTTTTGGACATATAGAGTTAATGGTATCATCTTAAAGCTTGTTCACTTGTCTGTATTTTGATGAAAAGAATATCCATTTATCTTGAATACAAGTCGAGATATTTACGAAAAAAGGAGATGGGGGTCACCTGTTTTCAGAAGTAAAATTAGTGAGAAAATGGCTGCCAAAGATTAGTTATTTTCTTAGCTTAAGAGTCCGCGGTAAATGAAAATGTTCATGTTGTGTGCTTTTAATCAACGTTTTTCAGAAAAATCCACACATGAATGAGTTCTTTAAATTGCATGAAAGATGTGGAGGCAAAAAACAAAAATTTGATAAAAATTCACAAAGCTGCGGAAAAATACAAGTTTCTTCACTTTGATTATTTTGACGAGAGCCTGATTCCACCACGATGCCTCACATATGCCCAAAGAAGAATGATGGGAGAAAAGTCAGGACGATAGATGCTTGTTAGGAAAGAAGGAGCAAACGACACCAGAGCACCCGACAACCACCCACAAGTACAAGTCTTAGTGTTACGTCTCTTGTTTGGTTTCTCAGAAAGAAGTATAATAATAGTATTATTTGTTTAGCGCAATCTTTTCAACACTCTGTGAATACAAGACGCGTCACTCTCTAAAAATTGTAACAAAACAGGTATTTACATAACATACATGTCTCCGCCGGCTTAAAAATAGCTCAAATGAAGCGGCGAGTTAATTTGTTGTTCGATGTGTACTGTCTTTTAAGGTATATTATAAGATCATGTACTATCTTCGGAGGTATATTTATAAAGATCATGTACAATCTTCGGAGGTATATTTATAAAGATCATGTACAATCTTTGAGAGCATATTATTAGATCATGTACAATATTCGGAGGTTTATTATAAGATCATGTACAATCTTTGGATGTAGGTCTATATAATATCGTATATAGTATCATTATAAGAAAAATATTTACATATCACGTTAATGTCTACTAAATATACAAGCGATATTTGATGGGAATGGGCAGGAGATTTGTTTAAAATAACCACTTTACACATATATGCTTAACTCAAATTTGGAAACGTTTCTTACCATCTCCAGAAACCATCAGATAGACCAGAACTGCAAGGGTCCGGTGAAAGAATCGCCACGTTCCTCATCTATGTGAGTATCCGGTCGGTGAATTAATGCTTGCGATCACCCTTACCTCTATCTGCACGTAGTGCTTTACTATTGTATCCTGCCAAGGTGGGGAAATGTGTTCCACCACTTTCCAAACAGGATATTTACTCTCTGATCTGATCCGTACGCTTTGCATAGCTGTCTGTCAAAATGATTTTTTGAGTAATATTGAGAGTTTCAAAGAGGTTTTCGTGCTAGAAGTATTCTAAAATGTGAAGAAGACAACCCCGGGGGTACAAAATGACACCAGGGCGTACAGATAGGGTTAAGTTGTTTTAATCCTGACGCTTTTTAAAACATAGATTAGTGACAAGAGAGCCCGATACTGCTGTGTGAAAAGGTTGAGGGAAAGAAGAGCAGAGCAGGACAGAGAACAATATGTGAGGCAGCGTGGTGGAATCAGGCTCTCGTCAATTTTTGGGCATGTAGAGTTGTTGGTATCATCTTATAGCTTATTCACGTGTCTTTATTTGGATGAAAAAAATATCCATTTATCTTGAATACAAGTCGAGATGTTTACGAAACAAGGAGGTGGGGGTCACCTGTTTTCAGAGGTAAAATTAGGGAGAAAATGGCCCCCAAAGGTTAGTTATTTAATAAGCTAAAAAAACAAAAATTTGATAAAAATTCACAAACCAATAGAAAAAAGCAAGTTTCTTCACTTTGATTATTTTGACGAGAGCCTGATTCCACCACGCTGCCTCACACAGATGGCCTGAACCTAGTACTAGTTTAGTAAATTTAAAGAGAACAACATAAGAACTAATGAATCAAGTATGTAAACTTACCGGCTCAAAGTAGAAACGAAAATGCACAATTACAAACTACACCCAATACCGAGAAAAACAAGAAAACATGGCAACATTTCGCTTCTGTAGAATTACAAAATTCTATCTGACATTTTTGGTCATTTTGATTTATTGATACATGTACCATGTGGTCAGAAAGCAATTACATGTAATGTTATATCTGCTCTAGAAAAATCGTGAGATTGTTCGAATCGTTATCAAGGTACTCAAAGAATGGCATTTGAAAAAGCTTGACCTTTATGTAGTGAAACTTACATTTTTTTAATGGCAAATTTCTCAAAACTAGGTACTAAGCCCCTCCCCCAAAAAAACTACAAAAATGTAACACAACAAACAGCCCCCCCCCAACCCCCCCCCCAAAAAAAAAGAAAAAACAAACAAAAACGACGTTGGGTCACCGGCCGGGGCAGTTTACAAGTCATTACGAGTTAAAATGTATCTTTATTATCCAGAAATTGACAAACAGACGCCTGTGATGTGCAGTTATCACTCCGCTGTCGCATACGGGAGACCCGAGCTCAATTTCCGAATGGAGATAGTTTTGATCTTGTATCGTTGTCTTTCTGTTGTGATGCCGTAACCCTAACTATCAGCCCGGGTTGACCTTGACAAGCAGGGTTGGAAGCCCGCCTCCTAAACAATCCAATTTTTTGTCGATATGGGTGTAAAAACGTGACCTTCTTTTTATTCCAGCTGAGTGACGTACAGAGGGGAGGATCCACAGTGTTCACGAGGGCTGGCGTGTCCGTGGCGCCCGTCAAGGTAAACGGTTGACAAAACTGTCTGGTCTACCTGTTCATTTATTTTCCATCAATGCAGGACTAATGAACAGATTCAAGTTGAAGTTGGAGACACCTCATCATCGTCGTCATCGTCGTCGTCGTTGTCATCATCATCATCATCATCATCATCATCATCATCATCATCACCATCATCATCGTCATCATCATCATCATCATCATCATCACATGATGATAAAAAAAACAAAAGAATTGGTGGAGACTCGAATATTTCAATATTGATGATATTATGAAATCAGTTCAACATTTGGGTCTCATGGGCTTCGTCAGGAACGTAATTTTTAAAACCATCATCATCATCATCATCATCATCATCATCATCATCATCATCATCATCATCATCATCATCGAAAATGTTTCTAGGAATTTCTTGGGACAACAAAGTGCCAGGCGCCTACACCACAGACGCTAGCGGTGAGAGATCACTCACTGTGGTACAGAGATTGCTGCACTGTACAAAGGCTGACGTTCTGATACGTAATGCGATAAAGTGTCCAAACATTTAATGAACAGACCATAACGTGATGTCTGTAGTCTTGTGGTTGGGTTACCAGACCCGTGATCTTGAGATCGCAGGCTCGTGTTTTTTTAGCCTCAGCTTGGACCGACGTTATGTCCTTGGGAAAAGACACGTTCTTTAAACACATTTCCTATTTTGCTCAGTCTTTTAGGAAATGTACATTAAACTTGGAGGTCCCGCCTCTTAAATAACCTAATGGTGTTGATAGGGGCTTTGAACCTATGCCTTTTCACCATTTTCGCCGTAACATGTTCCTGTCTGTCCCCAGAACATGGCTCTCCTGTGGTACAATTTCACGCCAGCCCTAAAAAGGGACGACTTGACCGAGCACGCCGGCTGCCCTGTGCTCATTGGTCAAAAGTGGAGTAAGTGTTCGCATACCTGTAGCTCTGATTGGTTAAAAGTGGAGTAAGTGTTAGCGTAGCTGCGTAATGATTGGTTAAGAGCGGAATTTGTGTTCGCATAGCTACGTGATGATTGGTCAAATGTGGAGTAAGTGCTGATTGGTCAAAAACGGAGTGGTGCTGATTGGTCAAATGTTCAGTAGGTGCTGATTTGTGAAAAGAGAAGTAAGTGCTAATTGGTCAAACGTTTAATAGATCTAAGTTCTGATTGGCTGAAAGAGAAATTAAATGCCGATACTTTAAAAGTAAAGTAAGTGCTGATTGATCAAAAGAGAAGTAAGTGCTGATTGATCAAAAGAGAAATAAGTGCTGATTGGTCAAATGTGTAGTAAGTGCTGATAGGTCTAAAGTGGAGTAAGTAATTATTGGTCAAAAGAGGAGTAAGTTATTATTGGACAAAAGTTTAGTAAGGTACTGATGGTCAGAAGAAGCAACTTTTCACAACTATTGTGTTTTCCTATGATGATCTTGGTTTGAAGTAACCTGACCTCTGTTGGTTTATCTATTGTCAAAATTGTATATTGTATTTAATGCACTGTATACATATCAATAACAACAATTTAATAATATATAACATAATTTGTATACATATTTTATATTACATACCACCCTTTCTCCCCACCTCCTACCTTACCTTACCTTCTGTCCTCACCAATAACTCCACCCCTCCCCACCAACTACCCTATCCCCTACCTCCCACCACATCTTCCTCCTCTCCTCTCCCCCCTCCCCCCTCCCATCCACGTCCCCAGTCGCCAACAAGTGGATCTGGACATACGGCAACACGTTCCGGCGCCGCTGTGGTCTCACGCCAGACGCTACACACCTGGACATTGAGCCGGACATGTACAGACGATATGGGGTGAATTAGGGACACACACACACGCACATACACACACACAAATACACACACACACACACACACACACACACACACACTCACACATGGACATAGAGGCAGACATGTACAGACGATATGGGGTGAATTAGGGACATACACACACACACACACACACACACACACACACACACACACACACAGACGAACACCTGGACATAGAGGCGGGCATGTACAAGCGATATGGTGTGAACTAGGGATATATTATATATATATATATATATATATATATATATGCACACATGCACATACACACACACACATCATGTATATTTTGACTATCTGCATCCAAGGGTTCTTTCTACAGTACATAATTCATTTGTGTTATTGCTGTTGTTGCTATTACCGTTATTGTTGTTGTAGTTATTGTTGTTGTTGTTGTTGTCGTTGTTATTGGTGATTATTTTGTTAATCCTGCCCAGGCCTTGAGCTAAAGCCTTGTGACCTAATACCAACGTGTTGAGTGCGGAAGTGTTCATCAATTAATTATTTACTTTTTCTTTTTTTACAACACATCATTTATTGCTGTTGTTGTTGTTGTTGTTGTTGTTGCTGTTATTGTTAATGATGATGGTCTTGTTAATCCAGAACAGGTTGTGTGCTAAAGCTTGGAGATCTGATAATACCATGTTGTTGAGTGAGGAAGTGCTCATAAATTAATTAATTACTTTTTTCTTCCTTTTTATTTTTTTTTCAACACATCATTTATTGCTGTTGCTGTTGTTTTTAGCTGCTGCTGCTGGTGTTGTTGTTGTTGTAGTTTTTGTTGCAATTGTTGTTGATGATGGTGTTGTTGTTTTTAGCTGTTGCTGTTATTGTTGTTGATGATGATGGCGTTATTAATCCTGCACAAGTTTAGAGTTGAAGGCTAGTGGTCTAATAATACCATTCAGTAGTATGTGGAAGTGTTCATAAATTAATTAATCCCTTTTTTCTTTCTGTTTTTTTACAAGACATTATTTATTGCAGTTGATGTTGTTTTTAAATGTTGTTGTTGTTGTTGCCGTTATTGTTGCTGATGATGATGTTGTTGTTAATCCTGCACAGGTTTTGAGCTAAAGCCCAGAGATCTGATGATAATAATAGCATGTTGTTGAGTGAGGAAGTGCTCATAAATTAATTAATTACATGTTGGATTTTTTTTGTGTGTTATTTTTTTGGGTGCAAAACATCATTTATTGCTGTTGCTGTTGTTTTTAGCTGTTGCTGTCATTGTTGTTGATGATGATGGTGTTGTTAATGCTGCATATGTTTTGATCAAAAGCTTGGAGGCCTAATTATACCATGCTGTAGTGTGTGGAGGTGTTCATAATTTGTTGACCCCCCTGTGTGCGACTGCAAAGTTCCGAACCTTCACTTTACAGAATCGTGCCTGGTGTGTGTGTGTGTGTGTGTGTGTGTGTGTGTGTGTGTGTGTGTGTGTGTGTATGTGTGTGTGTGTGTGTGTGTGTGTGTGTGTGTGTTTGAGTGTGTGTTTGTGTGTGTGTGTGTGTATGTGTGTGTGTGTGTTTGAGTGTGTGTTTGTGTGTGTGTGTGTGTGTATGTGTGTGTGTGTGTTTGTGTGTGTGTGTGCCTGGTGTGTGTGTGTGTGTGTGTGTGTGTGTGTGTGTGTGTGTGTGTGTGTGTGTGTATGTGTATGTGTGTGAGTGTATGTGTGAGTGTTTGTGCATGTGTTTGTGTGTGCTTGTGTGTGTGTGTCTGTGTGTGTTTGTGGGTGTGTGTGTGTGTGTGTGTGTGTGTGTGTGTCTCTGTGTGTTTGTGTGTGTGTGTGTCTATGTGCGTGCGCGCTTGCGTGAGAGCGTGCGTGCATGGGTGTGTGCGGGCACACTCAACCATTACAATAACTATATCTTTGCACAGAGGATATATTTTATTATAATGGTCATCACCGTTATCAACATCATCATCACCACCCCCACACTGATGTGACAACCTGATATTCCACTGTTTGAGCTAAAGCCCAGAGGTCTAATGATAATAATATCATATTGTTGAATGAGGAAGTTCTCATAAAATAATTAATTACATGTTTTTTGTGGGTTTTGTTGCAACACATCATTTATTGCTGTTGCTATTGTTTTTAGGTCACAAGGCTTTAGCTCAACAGTTTCCTCCACAAAAATTCACAAAGTGCCATAAATGAACTCTCTGCTAACTTTAAAATCTACAAAGTTTTAACACCTGTAAGTTTGTTTTATCTATGCCAATCATTATACTTTAATGTGAATTGCAGCAATTTAATAATAATCATTATGTCTTAGTTTATCAATCATTAGTATATCAAGGATACTGCTATGCAAGAGAAATGACTCACAACTGAATGTACAGTCGACTACGGATGGATTGGTCGCTTTCAAGGACAAGCGGGCTAGCCCAGATTTCGGGGGTTTCCAGAAATCTTGATCTACACCAAAAGTGGGCATTGCCCTACCTATAGAAGAAGTTTGGTTTCATTGGTGTGTATATTATAATCTGTTTGGTTATAGAAAAAACTGTCCTTGTCTTTTAAAGAAACTGAACAAGGGGTAAAAACTTTACCTTTGATTTTCTCAAAACAGCATTTTTCGGGATAGCCCCCTTGTGCTTAAAAAAAGCGACCAATTGATGTTGTTGGGGTAGTGAAAAATAGATCAACTCATACGAAGTTCAACTTGACCATTGGGATATATTTAATGAAGAAGGTGTGGCTGCTGGGAGTGGAAAAAATTGAAGTAAACCAAAGATCAACTCATGCGAGTACAACACAAGAGGAAATAGTAGACAGCTAAAGATCATGTTAGTTGTTTTTTTTGGTATTTGAGGGCTTAATCGGCTGCTCGCACTGTATGCTTCCTAGGAAGCCGAGAATGTTTCTGAGGTAGTGATAATTATAAAGGGTATCAAACATGCTGTTAAGTATGGATGTGTGCTATACAAATTAAAGCAATTATTATTATCATCATTATTGACTTTATTACTACTATTATTATTATTATTATTATTATTAAATCACTATTGTTTTTATGTTTATTATTATAATAGTTGTTATTATTATTAATGTTATTATCATTATTGTTATTCGTATCATCATCATTATTATTATTATTTTTATTACATGTATTATTTTTCTTTTCATCATTAAAATTAAATCATAGTATGAATAGATTAATCAGTCACATTGCCATGATGGAGTTTTTCCAATTCTCCTCACCTGACTCTCTGAGTCTGAGAGTATGGCAAGTCACAATACGTGAACGAATTTTACACAGAGTGGTTTTAACATCACATTATTATTATTATTATTATTATTATTATCATTATTATTATTATTAATATAATTATTATTATTATTATTATTATTATTATTATTATTATTATTAAATAAATTCATATTATTATTCAAAATGTTTTCTTTCGACCTGCTGTTGTCACGAATTCCAGTCAGATATTAATTACTAAATTACAGTGTGAATGGACGTTCACGTGAGTCCTTCGCTGTAATTTCTGCTACTCGGAATGTTTGTGTGTGTGGATAGCTGTAAATTATCAGACTGTTTGTGGGATGTTGGATTGCTTCTTCAATTTATAAAAACAAACAAAAATAAACAGTACATTAATTTTCTTTCTTTCCTTCTCTCTTCTAGTCGCTGAGGGGCAATTATTAGTCAATAATTTATTACTTTCTAGCATTCACATAATACGAAATTGGTGTGAAACAGGGATCTTCATTATGCAAGAATTCGATTTGTACATGCTTTGAATACAAAGAATATACATGCATACATATATAAGAAATAATTGGGGACCTTAAAAATATGTTTACCAAGTGCCGGTTTTGCTATGAACCTGTTCATTATATTATGTGAGCAAGACTGCAGTACTTTAATTCAATTTTATTCTCTTCTCTGTTCTACTTCAAGTAGCAAATAGGCCATTTTGGTCAATCATTTTTTCCACTTTTTGCTTTGCTCTTATCAGTTTCATCTCTTCTCTTCTCTTGTGGACATCATGTCCACATATCGTCTGACAGCTGATCAGATGTACGAAGCCCAACGTTTTTACATTTCTTTTTTTTTCTTTTCTTTTTTTTTTTTTTTTGCTGTTTCTTAATTGGTGATATCAGTTGTCTGTGCTCAAGAAATATTTTGTCACAGTTCAAATTCTAAAAGTTTTAAATGACAAAAATAACGAAAGGTACATACTGTACGTATGATTGTTAAGGGAATGAAACTTTCTTTTTCTCTTCTAAAAAAAATTACTTTCTGGGCTTCAGACATTTGAAAAGTTTGCTGATCATTACAATATTGTGTACAGCCTTCATGTTTGCCCTGATCCCGCACTGCTGTTGGTAAATATTCACACACACACACACACAGTTATGTGGCATTTATGCTATGCTGGTGAGTTTACTACAGAAGCATGCCAGTTTGTCACAGGCCTCAAATGTGCCGTGCACGACGGAAGTTATCACTGACACTCTCAAAAAGAGTAAATTAATGATTGGTTGATTGTATGAATTGAATTTTATTTTTCAATTGTTTTTAACAAAAGAACATTCATTGTTGAAATTTTACAGAGTAATTTAAATTTGCTTTTATTTGCATACAGAAAGGAAGAAATATTGAACAAAACAAGATGAACTGACATTTTAGAGGGACTATCTCTACACCGCCAATTTGAAGGTGGAGAATAAAAAACTGAAGTAACAACTACAGTGTTAAAGTCATGTAATTATGACTGTCATCAATACTCAAATACTTAAATAAATAGTGACAAACTGGGCAGCCCCCATTAAGTACAGTCGAAACTGTCCAAGATGGCCACCTACTGTCCAGGACAAAATTGGTTGTCTTTGACATGTGGACATCTTACGACAGTTTCATTGTAGTTTCATTGTAATATTTAAACAATGCAAGGGGGTATGTAGGACTGGGTTGTTTGTACAGGTGGTTGTCTTTGACAGGTGGCTTTTTGAGCAGGTCAGGCTGTATCTCTGAATAATATTTTTTATAAAGTTTTCTGTGAGCTTAGTGTGATGTGCATGCTTATGGGTCTGGGGAAATTAATGTATTTCGTCTGTTACAAACTCTTTTGTGTTCTGAGATTTTGTTGACAATAAATGCACTAAAAAAAAATTATCTTCGTTTTTTTCTCTGCTATCTCTTCTTTGTGCAAGTTAGCTCTTCTCTTTTGATTTTGATGTAACAAAACTCACGTTGGTTATTTTGATTGCATTGAGTGTACCAACAATGTATTCCAATAGTTCCATGACATTTTTAGCTATACACGTCTTGCAACTTTTCTTGATTTTTCTTGCAACTTTTGCTATTTTCAAATGCAACTTTCTCTGAGGACAGTTTGATGTAGGTGTTTTTACACCTGCATTGACACAATTTGAATCATATAGGTGGAGGGCTTTCACCTGCCTGTCAGGGCCAACCTGAGCTGAGAAAGATATGATGTCCCAGCAAAAAAACCAGAGATGTTCGATGTAGATTCTTCCAACAGGGAAACCGATCTCGGGTCTCCTATGTGCAACATTGAAGAACCTAACTGCTATACCACAGACGCCAGTCTCAAGTGCCAGCAATTATCAACACATGGTGTAAGGAGATAGCTCTACTTTTTTTCTTTGTTGTAAGAGTGTTACGGCACTTGCAACACAATAAGGTCATATAAGTGCCGAAGATTAGAGGTGTTACAAGAGAGTAACATACACACAAAAAGAAGGAGGAGAGACAAGGACGATAGCTGTTTGATAGGAAAGAAGGAGCAAACCACACATGAGCACCCACCAACCACCCATGATTTCTATGTGTACTGTAAAGCCTCAAACCCAACAGGCTTTGCAATAAAGTCTTTAAACATTTATGATTATGACTATTCAAATCTTAAAGAAATGTTAGGACGAGTACATATAAATTTGAGTAATCAAAATTTATTTCAGATGCATGTAGCTACCACCACTCCTTCCCATCAGAGTATAGTGACTTTTACTAATGTACACATCTCATATAAAGTAGGTCAATGTATCGTTGCCCTTGCAATAAGACTGGCTATCCCTCAAAATCAAAATATCAAATAAAATATTATTCATAAAATTTGATGAATCAAGAGTAAATAATCCATTTCATTTGTTCAGTCAAAGACGGATCTTAGTCTTGACTACAAATTCTCCTAAAACTTTAGAACAAAGCCAACTACCAGGTTGCAGCATTATGACACCCATCTTTTAAAAAAAGTTTTAGTAAGAGTGTTACGGTACTTGCAACACAATAAGGTCATATAAGTGCCGGAAATTAGAGGTGTTACAAGGGAGTAAAAAACAAAAAAAAAGAAGGAGGGGAGATCAGATAAAGAAGATAGATGTTTGGTAGGAAAAAGGAACAAACCACACCAAAGCACCTGCCAACCACCCACCACCCATCTTTTCCTGTAAAATTTACTCCGTTGGGGTTAGCCGGTCTTATTACAATGGTAACGATGTGCATGAGTCTACACAAGATTAGCATATTGAGATTAAGTATAACAAGTATCCATGTAGACAGAAAGCGTATTACAAGGTGGAAAACAAAGAGTCATGACATCATGATTGCGATCACAGCAAAAGTCTTGTATAGCTGCCAGCTTTTTAAAACAAAAAAATAAGAGATTCTATCCACATAGTGTGTCAAGATGGTGGGAATTGGCCAAGTAAGACTGCTCCAAACCCTTCACACACACTCACACACTTTCAGGCATTCAGTCAATTCATGCTCAATAAATAACTATGGTAACGGACACAACTACTATTGATGTATTAGCTTCCAACTCATCATCATTCGCAAATCAGATCTCGAAAGTTCACAATTTTTCTCCTGTATTGGCAAGTCTATGAAGAGCAATATTACAAAACAGAAAATAATTGTTAGCTAGAGTGTGTTAATAAGTTTTGATTTTTAAAATATATATATAATATATAATATTTTTATTTTTTTAAACTGTCCTTTCGTGTGTGAAAAGTTAATGTACGGTTGTGAAAGTTCTTCTTTATGAGGTCGAACTGGTTTCTCTTGTTTTTGTGAAATATATTTTCTTGTGTGAATGATTATGTGATTGGCGTAAAGCGGTCAGAGCTTATACTAGTATGGGATATACTGCTATATAAATGCCATCTATTATTATTATTATTATTATTATTATTATTATTATTACATATTTTTCAACTTGAAAATGGAGCTCTGTACTCAGTTCCTCAAAAACATATATTCAATACATTTTTTACATCCAGGCTGGCAGCTATGGTCTTGTGTTGCATTTCTTCCATAGCACTCTCAAGACAGCAGGAGTAGTCTTTGCTCAGTTTTAGAAAAAGTTTTACAGCACTTGCGACACAAATATGTCACATAAGTGTTGAAGATTAGAGGTGTTACAAGAGAGTAATATACAAAGAAAAGGAGGAAGAGAGATAAGGGCGATGAACGTTTGCTAAGAAAAAAAGAGCACCCCGCACCAGAGCACCCACCAACCACCAACATAGTAAGGGCTGTGGCAACTGCTACAAATTTTTAACGGGCAGCAAAGGTTTATTTTCCCAAGTCACCGAGAGAATAAAGTCAAATAATTAGACCAGTTACAGAAGTTATGATGAAGCCACTTAAGCCTTTCTTCAGAGAGAGCATTTGACTATATACATAATATATATACAAAACTTAAATATTTCTCAGCACCGATAAGTCTTGTTATCACACTATATGACTGACTACACAATTGTAGAGTCTACTCATTTATACATCAGACTAAAAACTCAGCTGTTAACCCTTCCAGCCCCATGCGCGTATATTTTCAGCAGCGCTTGTACCTCCCTCCATCCCAAGAGCGTATATTCTCAGTTTCGCGGGGTACCAAATTCGCGCACATTTCGAAATTAGCGAACCTAATTAAACTTCAATTTTTATAATATTTGCTCATTTACCTTTAAACATTGTTATATGTTATTATCAAAACTACATTACAGAGATACTGCATCCCCTTTTAGAATGCATGCCTCTTTTTCTGAACTGCTGTACAGGCTGGGACTGGGGCAGGGAGAGCACAAAACTGGCAGGTGCTGGAAGGGTTAACACAATTACACACAAAAGATGACTCAACCGTCTAAACATTCATACCTGACAAGGCAAGCGACAACAAAGCATTCACACACCATACAACTTTTGCAATTAACACTTTCAAAATATCCCTCAGCAGATGTCTACACTTTCATACATCCGACAAAAAAAAACAACCAAACTCAGAGGTCTACACATTCACACACCAGACAACTTCGCTGTGGCTGACAGTCTACTGCTGCTTTGGGCTCCGGTGCGCACGTCCCGAGACGACGACGATTCCTCCAGCGACTTCTCCCAGATTGGGAACATGTTGGTCACCATGGACCAGTAGTTGCTCTGCAGGGGAAAATAGGGAAAAAAAATTGTTTAAAACGTAGTGATTTTACGGTCCCATCAACACAAATTAGATCATTTAGGAGTCGGGTTTCAGACCCTGCCCGTCAGTGCTTACCTGGGTGATGAGAGGGATACAACAACTAACCAGAAAGACAGAGATATAGGCAATGAAAACAGTGAGGAGAAATATACAACAGGATGGCAAAAACACAAGATTAAAAAGAACAGTATTCTGATTGCAACTCAAAGGTATTTTGATATAAACTGTTAAACAGTAATAGTGTTAAGCTGGATACATAATCAGTATTCTGATTGTACATAACCCAATGAGATTCTGATATTGCATAATTAAAAGAGTAGAACAGCCCATCTCCACATCTACCTGCAGATTGGCAAAGCGTGGACTGGGCAGCTCCGTCAGTTCTTCCGTCAGCTGCTCGTCCTGATCAGCAAAGTCCTGAAACATTGACATTGACAGTCAGAAGTTGGATCATGTGATCATCATTATCATCATTTAGGAAGAAGCAGAGCAGTTGGGAAGGGGCAGTGTCTTCAGTAATTTTTCGTCAAACTATAGAAAAGGAAAAAAATTATTGTTTATCAAAACCGTTCAATGATTTGTCTCAAAAGCTTCTTCAGGAGTAACTGAGAGTAAAACTTATCATCATCATTATTGTTACCATCATCATCATTATCGTCATCACAATCATCTCGCAGTGCCAGATTTGAAACAGACACTAGTGATCATGGTTTGTCACTCAATTCTTGGCTTAGATGCTCTCAAAATAATACCCAACCTATAATCATCCTGGTCTTTCCCTGTCACCTACTTATATTATTTATTGCATCCAAGCCATCTAACGTCACATGTTCTTGGTCTTCCCCTGCCTCTTTTGCCTTCTATTTTACCAGTCTTTTCCTAACTGTTTTTATCAGTAAGCAGCCCACTTAATCTTCTTTAAGTATTACGGGCACCTTATCAGATTTCTTTAACTTCTACTTTATAGATCCTAACAAGTCTCCTAAAAAAAAAACCCCTACATTTCTGTTGCGACCCGTTCATTTTGACTATCTTTGACACATGCTTAAATTTGTCAGCGAGGTGGTCAAATGTCGTAAACCCAGAAAGCAAAATTTTTCATGAGTGAGAAAAAAAAAATGTTTCCTTCTTTAAACAATTGTACCAACATTAAGTATCTATTCTTGTGGTATTTGTCATTTAGAATTTGAATTTCAACAAAATATTTGTTGAGCACATGGAATTAATACCTTAGATATATATATAAAAACTGCAATTAAAAAAATTGTTTTTAAAGTTCTGGGTTAACCCTTTAGCGACCTACATGATGTATGCCATTCGTTATTTCTTCTTATACAGAGAAGGAGCCAAGAAGCTGTTGTGATGTACGATGTTCGTCAAGCCTTGCAATGCACGAGGACCAAGATGTCCAACACCGTTCGTCATAGGTTGTATTCTGCATACTGCTTCTACTTCTATTACTATTAGATGCTTAATTGTTTGTACAATGAAATCTTTTCCTTTTAGAGATAGTAGTGTTTAGTTTTAGTTTTAGTAGAAGTTTTACGGAGCTCGCAACTGCATAAGGTCATATGAGCGCCAAAAGATTAGAGCTGTTACAAGAGAGTAACAAACATAAAAAAGAAGAAGGGGAGATAGGGACGACAGATGTTAGACAGGAAAGAAGAAGCAAACCACACCAGAGCACCCACCAACCACCCACAGTTAGTAGTGTTTACCAACCAGGTCTATTTATATAGGCAACTGATGACTAAATCTTGCACCACTCTGTGTCCCTGGGGATCCAAAACTGTGCCCGGTGAAGAACAAACTGACCTTGTGTCACGATGGGGTTAAGTACATATACCTGAACAGCTTTCTCCAGACCGACAAAACGTGACGGTGGACAGGAAAGGAATACAACAACCCCAACAATCAGACCCTACTCTACCTTCAAAAGTCGGTCGTTGCGGATCGCAGCTTCTGTACTGTTTACGGGCATATCCTCCTGAGCGGTCAACAAATTTCTGGATGTTCTCAGCATCGCCTCCCGTTTGTTGATTCTGTTTGTGATGAGCAAAGGGGAGATATCATGGGAAAGCATGGGTTACATTGCTGTGATCAGATTGTGGAAAGAAGAAAACAAGTGTACGCGTTTAACGGCCCTATCAACATTATCAAGTTATTTAAGAGGCGGGACCTCTGATTTTATTTTTTCAAGTTAGTTTTCAAAAGGTTAAAAGAATTGAAAAGTCAGCAAAATGACTGAAGTACAAGAAAACCCAGCCAGGGATCTGAACCAAGGCAATTCAAACTGTGGTTCAACATGGAGACAGAATTAAAAAAAAAAAAGAAAACATCTCTCATGCAAATCAAATTGAGGTTCTTCTATTGGTTAAAACAAAATCAGAAAGCTCCAGTTTTATTGTAGTTTATACTTGGCAGGACAGTTTTCTCCACTCCACCCCCAACTCACCCCTTACCATCACTACCCCCCCTCATTCCAGTGATTAATTACACAGAAGAGCATCCTTTCTCACTCGATCAGATCCTTACATTTCTTCATGTAGCACATTCAGTTGCATCTCCTTGGCTGTCCACTTCTCAAGTTTGGCGTGGTATGCCGACGTTGCTTCCCCTTCCTTCACTTTCATTTTGTTCATCTCATGCAGGAACTAGATCTATAAAGCTAAGATTGAAAACGAAAAATATTGAATCATCCACTCATTATAATTATAGACAGAGATGTAACACAATGTAGCATGTCGCAAGTGACAAATGATGGCAGGCACCGGGAGCACGTATAGCTGCTGCAAAGACCACCTGCAACTGGCACAATATAGATCTACAGGCAGTTATATTTGTTGAAACTATTGAGAAACTTGGCTTTTAAAAACTGAAAATTAAGGCAACTTTTTACTTTCTCGCGTGTTAATTCTGGCCCACGCCTAGATTTAGATTCTAGATCTAATCATCTACACGAAACTCTATAGGCACCCCCGACTGGATAAAAGTTTAGAATACGTAAGCAACGGCAATTTCATTATTGGTAGGTAGTAACATACTGGGTTTAGGCCTAAGCTTTAGGCCTTCCATACTGATTTTGATATGGCCATTGAGTGAGTCTATAGATCTAGAGTTCAAAGAAGTGGTCGCTCGTTACGGAAGTCCTCCCAAGCCCAAGTAATTACCAAAGCTGATATGATAAACTTCGTTGGTTTCACTTCCTTTAAAGTAAGCAGACATAACAATCATTTCTATTGATACGTTTTAAGTATATTACCGTATAAAGGGACGCTCACCGAATCAAGTACGCAACCACCTCAGTTTAATTTTAAAAAGAAACTCTAGACTCTACAGACATAGCCAACTATCTCTGTCTGGCCTAACAATCGTTTTAGGCTGACCTTATTCCGGAAGTGTTGCTACCAACGCTTCCTCTTTAGATACCTCACTCCAGATTTATTTCTGCATCCGGCCTTGTCGTTGAACTTCAGATTGTTTTACATAACATAAATTAATTGTAATTTGTAAGTCTTAGAAAATTCAATTATCCTATAGAATGGAAGTGTTATTATCTGCTGCTAAAACAAGATGGTAATCAAAATAATGCTTGACATCTCCTCAGTTTTATTTATTATATCGCATGAAAAAGATTTTTATCATAGCATATAATTTTACTGCAACCTTTTAGTTCTCAGCATCGCGTCAATCTGGAAGCAAAATACTAAGGGACACCACTCTACAAATTCTTCGCTTCATATAAGTTTCAACTGTTTACTTTTCATTTATCGCACAACTTCGTAACTCACATTAATATGAACGGTCAGAAAAAGTGTTTAATGAGAGAAAGATAACCAGAAAGTTTGAGGGTGGAGGTGAAGAAAATAATAAATGCAAAAAATAAGGGCAGTGAGGAAGAAATGCGGATGATAGTAATGAAGATGATGATGGTGGGGAGAATAAAGGCGTAATGAGGATGAAGGTGATGAGTATAAAGATGAAGATGATGAGGATGAATTAAATGAAGGTGAGGATGGAAATTGTTAGGAGGAGGATGAAGGTGGTGATACTTATGAAGATAAAACAAATGTTGTTGACAGTTTTTATCATTCAGGAGGCGGGCTTCTGAATCTGACCCTGCCTATCAGGACTAACCTGGTTATAACATCTCAGCAGAAAGACTTAGAAGAAGATACTCAATAAAAATTGCTCCCCTCTCAGGAATCTTACTCGGGTTTTGTGCATGCAACAATGCAACAGTGACGTTACTAGCTGCTACACCACAGATGTGGGAGAAACATTTTTGCTAATTTCAAAGTTGGGCACACACATTACCCATAGACATCTTCTCAAAGGTGAGGAAGATCCTTTTTGTATGATATACAATACATTTTTAACTACATGTACCACATTAGGCACATTCAAGTAGAATGAGTCATTTACTTCTATTAGAAATATTTTTAGCTCTTTTTGATAATATAATCGAACCCGAGAAAGATCTTTGATACTGTACAATTACAATAAATTGGTTTAGTTCTAAAAATAAAAAAATTTCATAATAGGCGTCTACTAATACAGCTGACATAATTGTCCAAGTCCAATACAGACACCCACTGTCCAGGAGAAAAGCGGTTGTCTAACCCTTAGGTAGACACTTAGCTCCCATCTTCGACATTTACACGACCTATTTGCATTTGTGTTCCAAGTAGGTTAATTGTAAAATAAGAACAGCTCTTAGTCTTACTAACTAAAACTAAAACTGGTGTCTCTGGTGTAGCAGTTAGATGCTTCGCTGAAGCATGTGGGAGACCTCAATTCGGTTCCTAAATGGGGAGAGAATTTTTGTTTTCTCAGCTTTTCTGCAAGGACACGTTTAGTTTTATCCCTCTCTGTCCAGATTAGCCCTGACAGGAAGTTGGACGCCCACCTCCTAAATAATCTAAATTGTAAATTGTGTCAGTGGAGGAATGGAAATACCTACAATTTGAATAAAAACTAAACTGAACCTGATTATCCGATAATTTTACCATTGTTTACCCATCTTTAAAATCAGTAGACAGGCTGGTGGTAGGAGGAGCTTTTGACTCTTACATGACCACATTGTGTCGATGGAGCCTTAATTTCAAATTTAAAACATATTTGACTGAGCTCAGTGGGGATCTGTCGATGGAGGCCCCTGTCACTAGTAGTACTAGTAGCATGAACTCTGTGTTTAGAAGAAATATTTTTTTGGTCTTATCTTGTCTATTGCCAGAATTGGTCTACAATACTGAGGTCCTTCCTTGTATTCCATCTCTGCACAGAGGTGACTTCTTTTTAGTTTTAGTAAGAGTTTTACGGCACTTGCAACACAATAAGTATAAGGTCATATATAAGTGCCAAAGATTAGAGGTGTTACAAGAGAGTAATAAAACACAAAAAAAAGGAGGAAAGATAAGGACGACAGATGTTTGATAGGAAAGATTAGAAGGAGCAAACCACACCAGAGCACCCGCCAACCACCCACAGAGGTAACTTCTTCGAAAAGTTTTTGTCCAAATCTCCAAAGGGCAGAGACTCTAGGAGTGCTCTATTAGCTCAGTTGGAATCATGCTGGACAACAGACTGGATGGCCTTGGTTCGAATCTCATACTCAGCATTTTTAGCTCGGGTCATTTTGTAGAGTTTTCAAGTCTCTCAACTCATATGGCTCGATCCTACTGAAGACGGACTTTAAATTCAGAGGTACTGCCTCTTAAATAACGTACCGTATTAATAGTGTTGATACGAGCTTTAAATCCTTACCCTTAAATCACTCATCATAATTGTCAGCTGTTCAGATGTAGTAAGTCCAAAATTTTCAAACATTTTTTCATTAGTTTCTAAATCTGCAGTAAGTGCTTGAGAAATACCGGTAAAATACTTTGTTGAATTTCATATTCTGAATGTTGTTGACTAAAAGCATTAGTGGATTTAGTGGTGTTGCTGTTAGCACTCAGTTCAATTCCAGATTGGGGAGGATTTTTATCGAGCGTCTCAACTCAGACTCAGGATGGTCCTGACACAAGGGTCTCCTTAACGATTTAAATAGTGTCAATTTGGCAGAACACTTGCATCTAAACTAAAAAAACACAATAGGCAAGAAACAAACAATAACTCAGAGGTCAATCAATACATCAAAACAATTCTGTAAACAAAACAAACGAACAAAAACAACAACAGCAAAAAAAGTTGAATTCCACGCATAACAGGGTCAGTTCACTGCATTTCATTTCAAAATACCATGAATACAAATTTAAGACAAAGTAAACAAAGGACAAACTCTAAACTTTTTTCCTTAGGAAAAAAGTAAAGCAACAAGGGATTCAGGTAAAAACCAATATACTGTACACATGATGATGCACTTTCATATATATATTTTGTAAAAACTGGCTAGCTGGGATCGAACAATACAGATCAGATCAAAGACATTTGCTCTCTCGCTCACCCATTCTCTCACTCATTTTCTCTCTTTCTCACTCATACTCATGCACACACACACATTCAAACTACACGATTTATCACACATTCTCTCTCTTTCACTCACACATTTGAACACAATTTAGCACACATATTCTCTCTCTCTCTCTCTTTCACTCGCACATCCCACAAACACACATTTGAACAAAACTGTCTCTCTCTTTCTCTCTCTCTCCACACACACATATTTTCGTTAAAACAACGTAATCCTACATGTATACCCACACACACTCTCTCTCTCTCACTCACACACCCATTCACACTAAGAAAAGAACACAATTCTGCACCCATACCCACACCCCCACACACACACAGAATCCATCAAGACTGCTCCGTCTCTCCCTGTGCCTCCGCCAACACGCCCTCACCCTCACCAGCACCCTCAGATGTCTCCGCCCCCACACCCTCCCCCTGGTCCCCCGAGGCTGAGGGCGAACCAGAACTCTCTGCTGACGGGTCCAGCTTCTGCTTTTTCTTGGCCCGGGTGTCGGCCAACACTTGTTCAATTGTTCTCAGATCTCGTTTGTTGGTGGCCGGAACTGTGGGTGGATGGGGAGGGTAGAAGGGGGAGAGGGGGGGAGAGAAAGGAGTGAGGAAGGGGAGAAGAAGGGGTGTGGAGGAACGGGGGAAGAGGAGTTGGGGGGAGGGGGATGAAGGGTTAGAGAAAAAAACATCACATAAACTTACAACAATATACCATAAAGCATTACCAATATCATAAGGCACTCCTCTAGGGAGAAAAACACTGAACTTAACTAAACCTAAGGTTATACCTCTAATGCATCGTTTAGACACACAAGCAAGCAATCCACAAACTGCAAAAAGAAGTAATTTCCAACACTGTGCTGCTGTGCTGAATTTCTTTTTCTTCGTGCCCTTTCCAAGTCATCCAAGTAATTCTTTGTACGAGTTTTTTACGATTGTGCTTTGTGCATGCCAGACTTTAACCCTTTCGCACTTAGCAGGCTTGGCCAGCTGTCCCCCGATCCTTAAGACAAGGGCAACAACTCCACGAAAATTGAAGGGGTACCTTACTAAAAAAATTGTATAAAATCACAAACACAACCAAAAATGATGAAAATAATATTTTCTGAAAGGAATATGAATGACCTAAATTACTAGTATGAAATTATAAGTGGAATAGAAGAGTATGAAATGATATGAGAGGTCTTTCTGAGAGGCATGTCTTGGATTCCGAGTCTAGATCTAGACCTCGTATACATTTCTTCAACTCACGAAGTTTCTGCCATTGACAATGAGGTAATCCACACAAAAGAAATACAACACATTCACAGAGATTGAAGCCTCTGGTGGAAACTTGAAAGCACCTAAAAGACTTTTCTTTGGGTGTTTTTATTTTGTTTTTGGCGTACTCATATCGGGCAGCTTTGCGCCCATGCATCCTAGAGACATGATGGCGTGTTTACAACTAAAATCTCTTCAGACTTTTGTTCCCGCTCAAAAAGTGACTCTTTGTGCTAGCGAAACAAGAAAAACACCATAGTAAACCGGAACTTCCTCTATAAAGATAGCTAAGTGAAACTTCTGATGATAGTAAAAGTAGAAGCCTCCCACGGCAATGAAACAAACACCCCCCTGGCAGGAGCATTCGGGCGCTATAGGGATGAGTGGGGGTCACCGGCGCGGGCGCATACGGGCGCTGTAAGTGCGAAACGGTTAAAGGAAAATTTAAGCATGACATATATGCTCCCCCCCCCCTCCTTACAATAACCAAAGAAAATAACAAACCACCAAAGTAAAGAAAAAAGAAAACCCAACAGTCTGCCGCACTCTTACCAAAGCCGTAGGAAGAGTTGGACACCATCTCCCTGGCCGCGTCTTTGGCTGCCTCGTCCCCGATCAGGTGTTTGTATTTGTCCCGGTAGTTGGACGCCGGCGTCTCTTTCAAGCTCTGCTTCCTGCTCTCTTCCTCCTCCTTGCTCTGGATTTCCTGTTACACATGGATTGTGATGGTGAGGAGAAAATACAATATACAGGATTGTGAAGGTGAGAAGAAAATACAATATACAGGATTGTGAAGGTGAGGAGAAAATACAATACAAGATTGTGATGGTGAGGAGAAAATACAATACAGGATTGTGATGATGAGGAGAAAATAGGAGACAGGCTTGTGATAAAAAGAAACAGAGACAGTAGGAAATGGGATCAAAAGAGGAGACAACAGGAAATTAGATGATTGTGATGATGAGAAGATAAAAAAATGAAACAGGATTGCGCTGGTGAGAATTGTGATGGTGACGAAGCAACGGCAAACAAGATGATGAACAAATGGAACAGGATTGTGATGAAAAGAAAATAGGAAACAGGATGGAGATCATAATAGAGACAAACAAAAGGAAACTGCGTTGTTGTGACAAAAAGGGCAATATATGACAGAAGAGAGACAAAGATTTCTGCTCTAAATAATGCTTGCTGTAAAACAACCCCCTTAAACTAAAACAGACAGGGGGTTCAACAACCACATACATAGAGAAGAAATTCATTCCTAAAAATCACACCACCAGAACATTGTTCAACACAGATTGAGAACACATAAAAAAATCCCCCCCCCCCCAAAAAAAAAAAATATTAAAAAATTATATTCTCTAACATAAGCACTGGTTATAATTACTGGATATAATTACCATAAACATCAATGTTTGCTTTAGAGTATATATTTTTTTAAAATACATCATGACAATCAATAACATTTACTCAATACCGTGGTAAAGTGAGAGATTTGTCTATTTTGTATACAAGGTTAACACAGACTGTACATGTCCTTAGCAGCATTCCCCCTAGGGTCTCCCTCTACGTCCATCCACTTATCGGCCCAATAAAAGGGAGAGAGACAGACAAAAATAATTGATGGAAGGGAGTGTTCTGACTATCCCAGTACACTATTTCAAGAACTCAAAGAGACAATGTATAGATCTAATCAAAGCAAACTGACCTTTAACTTCTCCATCTCCTTGGCCTTCTCTGGGTCCCACTCCTCCCCTCTCCTGTAGGCTAGAAGCTCCTCATCTGACGGGGCAAACTCCTGTAGAAAAACGCAATCAAACCACGTCAGACATTTTCTGTTTCAGATTTAGTAAGGGTGTTTTTTTTACGGCACTTGCAGCACAGATGGGTCACATAAGTGCTGAAGATTAGAGGTGTAACTAGAGATTAACATACCAAGGAAAGAAGGTGGAGAGATAAGGACAATATATATATGTCGGGGCAAACCAAGTCAGTTCAGCCACCAACCACACACTCAAACAGGTGACTTGGATTACAGCAAGAATGGAATGGCAAAGGAGAGATCCAACATCCCGGGAGAAAGACCGAGATACTCTATAAAAATTTGTCTCCCTAAACAGACTCAAGTCTACTGCATGCGACAACGAAACGCCTAGATCTAACTGCTACACTACAGATATCTGTGATCTCCATGTGATCCCAGCTTGTTCAAATTGATGAATGAAGTTAAAATTCTAACTGGAGGTTCTGCCTTTTATACATATAACCCTAGAGTGCTCAAGAAAAAAATGGAGGTCAAACTCAAACTCGCACGATACAGTCGACTACTATGGATGAGTTGATGTCGTCGGGGAGTGAAAAATAGATCATCTCATCCGAAGTTCAACTTAACCGTTGAGAAGCAACGATTATAAAAAAGTGGCGGTTCTGAGACTTAAGAGAAGATAAACTCCAGCGAGTTCAACACAAGCGAAGTCAACTGCACCATACAAAACACAAGCGAGGTTTACACCACAAGAGCTGTCGCTGACAGGAAACACTTGCCTTCTTCCACATGAGGACGTAGCGATCCTCCTCCTCGTGCCCAAAGGAGAACGACGTCAGCCCGGCGACCTCCGACACTTCATGCCTGGGTGAAATAAACAACGGAGAAGTGAAAAAAAAAATTGTTAACTACATACACGTACTTAACCGTTGTCCTTTATGAGTCAACTGAGCACTCTTTGAGTCGCCTTCCTAAATAACTAAACAAAATTTGATTTTTTCCCCCTGGATATTATGAAATGCATTGCCATATGATATTGCCATATGATGGCGAACTAGCCTTTTATAACATTTTTGTACTGATAAACAAATAATGTCAATGGGGGCTGGGGAGGACTTTTCTAGTACGAGGATGACAGTAATGCTGACCCAAGTTAGGTAAAGGTTCAGACTTTAATAGTGGAAGGCTGTAAGGATAAAGTGACAGTGAACCTAGCGATGTAGACCTAGAAGTTTTCTAAACATTTTATTTCTTCAAAATCTTCACATTTCCAGTTGCGAGCGCCGTCAAACCCTCCACAATAAAAAAACATTTTAAAAATAACCATTCAAGACATGTCAAAAATTTATTTGGTGATGTGCAGTATCTTTTACTGCCCTTTCGCATCAGTTTCATTGTTAGTTAGTGAAAAATAAGTTCACAATAATTTGTTTGAATCGGAGCAAACGTATGACACTGACATTCTTCAGATCTTGAGCCACTAAGTGCCTGGCAGCCAGTGAGTTAAAAAGTAGGCCTCTTACCACACTGCCGCAGCTAGGGAACATTAAGAAATATCACAATACTGTCACTTACACAATCGCCCGCATTCCTTTCTCCATGGGCTCTAGTTTCAGCTTTTCCAAGGTACCATCTTTTATAAACTCATGAATTTTTTTTTGAATCTGAAAAGAAAAAACATTCCAAAACCCTTATCATGAAAGTAATCATCAAAGGATACATTTTCCCAGAAGTGGCTAAAATAAAATATACCAAACTAAGAAATAAACAGAGAAAAAGAAAAAACATTCCAAAACCCTTATCATGAAAGTAATCATCAAAGGATACATTTTCCCAGAAGTGGCTAAAATAAAATATACCAAACTAAGAAATAAACAGAGATAAACACAAACGAAATGTTAGCATAATTTCAGTCTTGAAACAACAGCATACCAAAAGAGTATTAAACTAAACTGAACTTAAAAAATTATTGTTTCTCTGACATGATATATGTTATCAGTACTTCAACTAGTTGATCTAGCCCACTTTAAGTTATAATTATGAAATAAACTTGTGGAAACCTTGTGAAACAAATTTATTCTCAAATCTTATCTACGAGCAAACCATGGAGCTGCAAAAGAGGAGCCCAACAGCTACTGGGAATAGTAACAAGAAACTGAAACATCCTCTCCTGACATTCTTACAAAACTGTGTCGTCCTCCACCACCTGACAACATCAACAACCTCAATCATTTACAGTTAAAACTGTCCTTTAAAAAAAAAAAAAATTATAGTAGAGGCTTTTACGGCGCTCGCAACTGCATAAGGTCATATGAGCACCAACGGGTGGGTGTCAACAGAGAAGTGTTTACAGGGAAACGGACTTAGACTGCTCACCTCTCTAGCTTCAACAGCACAAGGTCTGCTTCGACTATCAAGGCACCCCGGAAATAGCAGGTCACAAGAGAGTGACAAACATACAAAAGAAGTAGAGGAGAATGACAATAGTAAGGATCAGGAAAGAAAAAGCAGCAGTTCCCTGTTGTAGATCAGGCACAGTTATGAGCGTGACATGAGTCAGCCCATTTACAATTCTACTATGCTTGAACGAGAAATGTCCCCCCTTTGGGAATGGCCTAAAGACACTACAGTCAGTGGCACTGCCCCAGGGGGTGTAAAACTGTCCGCGACAGACATAATTGTCTAGGAGAGAGAGCGATTGTCCTAGGTGGAAGTCTTGGACAGTGCAAATAGTGGTCGTTTGGATAGATGATTGTCTTAGACAGATGGCCGTAAAAAAGCAGGTTCGACATATTATTTTTTGTAAGCTACACATCACAGACCCGGGTGCGGAAAGCGTCAATCTTTTTCTTTTCTGCCTCTTGCTGTTTCTCCATCATAGCTTTCTGAGCTGTGGAAAGAAAGGAACACAAACAAAAAATAATTTTAAAGAGGAAAAAAAAAAAAGGATTTATCAAAAAGTCGAGGAAGGGAATACACATTCATCATACATTTTGTTTCCACCTAATTTTATCGAAGGCCTATTTTTAGGGCTGAAATTTATAATTTAAAAACATTCCTTCTTATAAATCAGTCTGCCTAATACTGGCCTATCAATTTTTATACCCAGAAATCTAGACTCTAGATCTAGAACAAGAATATAAAATAGCATAGGATCAAAGCACACGTAAAAAAAACCCACCCAAAAATACTAAATTTTGGACATTCTTGGAAGTTTGCATTGGTGTGCTCAAAATTACACTCCAGGAATCACTAAAAAATGAACATTTTTGGCACAAAATTTACAAACTCAAGATTATAAAGCTGACATGGGGTCTGAAACTGCTAATGCAGATTTTACATCCTATATTTGACGTGTTTTTGGAGGAATAAATACTAATGCCTAATGCATCACATTTTATGCACACTAATGTCAAATGTGTGTGTTTTCCCCGAAGTTTTGGCAATGGCTCATATAGAGATCTATAATAATAATCTATACAAGCTAGACTTTTTTTACTCTTGTCTTGCATCTGAGCTGCGTGAATGTGGATCTGATGCAGGACCCGAATTGAATGAGAAATGACGCTCAGCGATGGGGGCCAGATTGACGCGGAACCAGAACGCAGGCGAGGAGCCGAAATCCAATAGGCTTATCAGGCGACATAAACCCGGCCCCCTGCAGGACGAGGATTAACATGCGACTATACGCAGGGCGTAAACCAGGCTACGATTGGCTGAAGTTGTGACCCATGAATACATTAATAGGCATACGGTACTCTGGCTCTGGGAATTCCCGGTTATGGTCTCGCGCCTTTGACCGTTTTCTCACAACGGGTGGGAGCACTCATCAAAGAAGAAGAAGGAGTATTGAGGAGGAGGAGGAGGAGGTGAAGATGGAGGAGGAGAAAAGAAGAAGAAGAAAAAGAAGAAGAAGAAGAAGAAGAAAAGGAAAAAGAAGGAGAAGTAGAAGAAAAATGAGGAGGAGATGAAGAAGAAGAAGCATAGCTAGATCTAGGTGGAATTAGATGAGGAGGAGGAACTGAGTAGAACAAGAAGAAGATGAAGAAATAGAAGAAGGAGAAGAAGAAGAATCTAGTAGTAGTACATGATGTTACATATTGGGGACTTTTTTGTTTGTTACCCTACCTTGAGAAAGTCGGGGAGAGAGAGACAGAGAGAGAGAGAGAGAGGGGGGGGGGGGAGAGAAAGCACTACAGAGGGAGGGTGGTGAGAGTGACAGGGAGGTGTCGTCAACAGCGCCAAGACTAGCCTACCGTCATAGGCCTACTTTTAGTATTCATGGGTCAAAGGTTCAGCCAATCGTAGCCCGGTTTACGCCCTGCGTGTAGTGTGGTGTATTCGCATCATGTCTTTTTAGCAGCATGGTCATGGCATGGCCATTCATGTTGTACAGAGGCTATTTTGATCACTTGTGCACACTTCTTGTCACAGTAACTTTATGCAACTGATACTCTATTGTCACTTGTGATTTGTTCATACTTTAGTCTTGTCATCACAAGTGAAGAAACATGCGGCTTCACCTATTTAAGGCTATTTGGGGCGATTTGGGCTTGGGCTTGGGCTTTGGGAGGGGGTGAAGCAAGAGGTCGACTTCACGAAAAAGGAGTCCTAGGCCTTTAAATTATTTACTCAACCTAGGAAAGATTCTTGTGAACATACCGTGACTATTTAAGGATCTACTGATCTCACCTTTGGCTTTCTTTCGCTCATCACTGCCCATTGTTGGGGGCTTTTCCATCGACCCCAAAATTGAGCCCAGTAAGTCTGCCATGTTGTTTGTGAAGTGGGATCTGAAAGAGTATTGATTGGTTTAAACTAGCTCAATAAACTTAAATATATATTTCAGGTTAGAATCCTTACACTACTATAAATTTTATCTAAATATATATTTAAAACTATCTATAAGGAAAATTGAATCTACCAAGTGTTTGAATAAAATGAGTAAAAAGGAGAAATGACTTGAAGTCAATATGTACACAAAGCGATCCCCATTTGAGCCTTGAGCTATTGATCATGTGACTCGGTTCAGTGGGTTGTCAACAAAACAAAGCTACTTTCGATTTCCCATCAGCTGCTGTAAGCTTGCGCTTGCATAGAGTAGTATTTTGGAATTTTATCAAGAGAAGATGGTGTGTTAGATCACTCCTGTCGTTTGACACATCTCGTAAATAAGGTAAAGAAAAGCCATTTGTTAAATAAGAGACGAATGTCTTTGTTTCAATACATCACTTATAGTCTAGATTTTTATATCTAAAATATCTTCTTGACTTTGACTGGAGTGGAGTAGATCTCTTGATTTTTAACTACTGTCCTACTTGCTATTCAAGTCAAGATCTAGATCTAGATCACAATAAGAGACTAGATCTAGGTCTAGATCTAGATCTAGATCTAGAGCTGAGGGAGAGTTAATTTCAATTTCACTTTTTAAATGCTACTAGAATCTACATCACCGAAAGACCAGCTTTTACAAAGACAAACGTACAACTCCGTGGCAACCCTGAGACTGAGAAGCTCCAGAATCTAAGCAAAAAAGCACATTGTGTGTGAGGGCAAACTTTTTTGAAAATCGAGTTAATGTTATTTGGAATAATCACCCCGAGTCAGTGGTGTCAGCCCCAAATGTGGACACATTTTAAAAAGGGAAGAGGCTAGCCGTACTTAATGACGGCTAGACTGGCAGTCTAGACGTACTTAAGTACGGCTAGACTCGCAATCTAGCCGTACTTATTCTTAATATGATGGCTAGACTGACCATTTACAAAAAATAGGCCTACTGAATTGCAAATAGATCTATACATTTTTAGTGTTCAGTACCTAAAGTATTTGTGTATTTGAGACGAAACCAGCTTAAAAATGACAGTGCATGTCCTCCTGTTTTCTAATGTTAATAGCTAAGATAAGTACGGCTAGACTGGCAGTCTAGCCGTACTTAAGTACGGGTAGACAGCCAGGCTAGCCGTACTTAAGGACGGCTAGACTGTCAGGCTAGCTGTACTTAATATATTGATGGCTGAATTGTAAATGAAATTTTTAGTTTGCAATGCCTAAAGTATAAATTGTATTTCAGACAAAACCAAAAGGTGCCTTACTGACTTGCATGTATTTGAACCTGAATAATTACTAGATCTAGATCTAATGAGACCTGTGTACTTAACAGGCTTGAGTCGATAGAGCCAAACCTAGATCTAAGTACGGCTAGACTGGCAGTCTAGCCGTACTGCTAGACTCTCAGTCTAGCCGTACTTAAGTACGGCTAGCCACTTCGTTTAAAAAGAGACGTCAGGACGAATACTGGAAAGATCTCCCGACTATAGACTACAACTGTACGACCCCACTTGGCAAAACTGGTTTGTCTCGCCTGCACGTAATGCATAGTGACATGGTCTTTCATTACCAGATAGTCGAATGGGTTCTTTAGAGCCTCAACCGACTAAATCGTCAATGTCAGTCGTCAATGTCAATTTACATTTTCTGGATTCAGAAATAGCCTGCTGATGTATAGCCTAGGCGAGCTCTATTCGGACTCGAGTCCGAATATGGATTTTATCTATAATTCGGACTCGGGTATGAAAAAAATGTTTTATTTCTTCGGACTCAGCTTAGTGAGTGTAAGGAGGTTACATAATATAACAGTCGTCGAGGGATTTCACGTAAATTAGAACTAGAATTGCCTACTAGGATTGTACATAATTGTGTCAAAAGTCAAAAGACTACACTCTCATTAGATCTACCCAATGGTAGTGTTAATAGTACACGGAAACTGACTACTCAGGGTCTTTCCACCACCAGTACAGCATCATCATTACTTCCACCACCAATTGTCTTTCCATATTTAATTTCATTTTATTGTGTGTTATAGTTTTTCTGTAATGTTCTTTTCTTTTATCACATCGCACAAAACTGACAGCCGTGGCCTCTTCCCAACACAATGACGATGTCTCGGCTATCACTGTGTGCCCTGGTGTTGTCTTTGTGTTACGACATGACCTTGGGGAAACCGCCGCACATTGTGTTTATTGTGGCGGATGATTTCGGTAAGTGAACATTGTCATTTTTATTTGTTTTTTAACAGTATGGCATTGATGGTCGAGTAGTTAGGCTTTTGGGCTGAAAACTGGAAGGTCATGGGTTTGACTCGCTCTAAGAGCTGCACTTTGCGTCCTTTGGAAAAGCAATTTTTCCGAATTTCTCTCACTTCACCCTTATGGATGACTTCAAAAGATCTTAATGTCAGTTTGCTAGCGTTTTTAGTACCTCTGTAAATTGGCAGCTTGTTTTGCAAGCTTCCAGGGCAGCAGAGAATGGTTCTGTGTGTTTTAGGCTCTCCTGGGGTGTAGTTATAAAAAATAATATAATTTAAATAATTATATATTATATATATATATATATATATATATATATATATATTAATAATAGAAAAGCAGCATAGCGCTCTGAGCTTATTTCCGAGCAGAAGTTGTTGAACTTTAACTGTGTGAGATCATTCTTTGTGTTTTGTGCAGTGATGAAATTTATGCTATATTAATAATTAAACATAATTTTGCCATTTTAAAAGAGAAAATCAACATGGAAAGGCAAAGAGAAACTCTGAAATCTGCATTCAATATTTTCTGATACTTACGACGTTTTTTTTGGGGGGGGGGGGGTAAAGGTTTTAAGGTCATATTATAAGTGCTGAAGATTAGATGAGTTAGAGAGTAACAAACACAAAAAGAGAGGAGAGGAGAGAGAAGGTCAATAGGTTTTTATAGGGAAGAAGGAGCAAACCACACCAGAGCCCCCGCCAACCACCCACTGAAATTAATATTATATTATGTTATCACTGAGTAGACCTTATTTACCCTGTTCTTTGTCCTGTGTGTTTATTACACTGTGTGTTTGTTACACTAACTTTCTACTTATCTGAAGATATAAATAATATAAGATAATAGACAAGAAACAAAAAATCAGGATTTTTGTCCATAATTTCAATATTTTCTTTTTATAAATATTTTAAATAGTCTTCAAAAACTACATATATATAGCTTAACTATTGAAGGAAGGATTTAATTTAATTGAACACTGCATGCTTAACACTCAAAGTGATACTGCCCACTAGTAGGCGATTTGTTCATTTTAGTGGTCGATGGGGATAACCCGAATAATGGCAGGTGTTTTTTCATGCCCTGCTAAGAAAAAAATTAAGGTGGGTGGTACAAAATGTTTTGCCTCAAAATGGATGCTGCTTGTATAAAAAGGTTGACAAGCACTCTTCTTGAAGATTTTCTGCATGAATGAAAGAGAAATTATGCTTCCAGAATTAGCTCTTTTGTGTTCACCCAGTTTCCATTGTTCCTGATCTAATCCTCACTCAATACATCCCCCTCCCCCCTCCCACACAAACTCACACACTACCCCCCTCCCCCCTTTCCCCTTCTCCGACCCACCTTACCCTATGTTTGAATCTGCTCAGGCTGGAATGACGTAGGTTTCAACAATCCTGACATCATCTCCCCAAACATCGATGCGCTCGCATTGAACGGCATCATTCTCAACCAGTCCTATGTGCAGCCGGTGTGCTCGCCGTAAGTCACATGACATCAGTCTGTGTTCCCTCTCTGTACCTCATCCCGGGGCTCTGACTTTTATATACCAGATTATTTTAGACTTTTGAACTCACAACCGAAAGGTCATCAGGAGCTGGGTGTTATATCATTGGAAAAGGCATGTTAAACAAATTTTCCTCTTTCACCCTGGTGAAAATGGGTACCTGGCTACAGACAGTGAAATATCTTGCACTTGGTTTGTGTTTGAACACTTACTTGACAGCTTGCACTGTATGTTTCCTTGGAAACCAAGAATGTTTCTGAGTGCTTTTAGGTATGCCGGAGTGAGATCACAACAGTTTTGTCTCTCAGAACAGAAACAGTGCTCTGTGATCATTGTGATGCACAAAGACAGGATGGGGGGG